TAGTCTAAGCTTAACTGAGAAGTACAGTTTGAAAACGTTGTCTGAAGTGGTGAAAGTGCTATAGAAATGCAGTGCAATCGTACTGTATCCTTTCTTTCACCACAGCCCACTCACCCGTGAGAAACTCAGGCATATGTAAGGACAGTAGAAAGTTGCAGAGCACAAGCTAACTCAGTCAGTAAATACCCCCTGGGTTTAGGGTTACCAGATCTAAACAAAAAAAAAAAAAAAATGTGGGACAACTAAGATCCTTATCAGGGACAATGTGGGACAGATGTGGCTTTTTTAGGTCTGTGCTTCTTTTGTGATTTCACCTCTACATTGTTGCTTTAAGTCCCGCTCCCCTTGTACCAAATAGAAAATAACTTTAGCACACTTAATAAAAATATGCAAATCACTTGTAACTGGCCATCCCCCAGTTAAAAGCTATTCTGTAGTCTTTGTTGTCGCTGTTTTTCTTTTAAACCTAGTCTACATCATGTTTTGTCTTAAAGTTTTTTACTTGTTTTGAATTAAAAGCATTATCCACAGGTCGGTCATTATGTGGGTTTCCAGAGCAGAGCAGCTATATGGCTATCGTCACAGAGCTTTGTTCTCCTGGTTTAGTTTTTAGACTCTCCACCAGAGGGTGTCCTGGAGACTGGTTGCTGGGTTTGGTGTCTACAGTTGCAGCTCATTAGCTTGTTCACTTCACTTTCCATGCAGCTTAAGTGGAGCAGACCAGTCACTCGATGTCTAAGGATTAACTGTCACTTGTAAACTCTTAGCCACTTCATGTGCTTCTCTAGGTGATTTCTGAGATTGTTCTGGATAGATTTGAAAAGCCTACCTGGGACAATCCTATCCTGCTTGTAATTTCTTATTATCTCTCCTTCTTCTGAAGCTAACCTTATGCATTCCAGTCCACCCTGTGATTGTTCCTAACTTGTTTTCTAAAGATTTCACATTGTTCATAATGATTCATGGAAGAGACAGCCTATATTTCTGGCTTCTCTCCATTGCTTCTAGTCTGAATCCTCAGCACCACCTTTTCAACCTACTTGTTACTTATGGAAGTAGCTGAAGCATTATTTAATTGTTACATATGTTGATGAGCTAACCACGGATGTAAAACAAAATGAAATATCTATCTATATACATCATAATATCTATCTATATACATCATAACCCTAACCACCTGATGGTGTCAACCAATGAGGCCAAAAGGCCAGTGCAGAGCAGCTCTGTCAGATTCTACAGCACTTCATCAACCTTACTGTGACTTAAGAGAGACATCCAGTGATCTGGAAGACCTTCTGCCTTGTTCTGGTGCCAAAGAAATCTGTCAAGAGTCCTGACTGGTTATAAACCTGTTGCCCAGCCACCCCACATCATGAAAGTCGTAGTCAGACTTCTTTAGCGGCATCTGAGCAAAAAAATGTTTGCTTACTGACATGGCAATGCAGTTGAAGATGTAAACCTGCTTTAACAAACCCACTGTCATTTAGACAAGGTTGAAAGCACTGTGAGGATCATGTTCTTTGATTTCTCCAGCGCATTTAACAGCATTCATCTTGACTCAATTTGTTAAAAATGTCAGAAGACTTAGATGGAGCTTGAGGGATCAAAAATCACCGGGATAAAACACAACCTGACAAACAAATTGAAATAATTTTGTGAGACAGAAGGGTCCAATTAAGTAGTTAGCGGCAAAGAACCACCTCAGGGAGCAGTACTATAACTACTCCTTTTTACTCTGCATACTTCTAGTTACAAGTACAAGACAGAGTGCTGTCACCTGCAGAAGTACTTGGAGGACTGTGCGGTTCTTACGCCTACCAGCCCTGCCTGGGAGTTGAGGACAGCATCATCTTCCTGCTGAACAGAGTCTACAATCACCTGGACAAGCCGGCGAGCACTGTGAGAATCATGTTCTTTGATTTCTCCAGTGCCTTCAACACCATCCGCCCGGCTCTACTAGGTGAGAAGATGACTGCGATGCAGTTGGAGGCCCCCATCGTGTCCTGGATTGTTGATTACCTGACGGGCAGACCACAGTATGCATGCCTACAGAACTGTGTCTGACAGGGTGGTCAGCAACACTGGGGCCCCCCAGGGGACTGTCCTCTCCCCCTTCCTCTTCACCCTTTTCACCTCGGACTTCAGCTATTGCTCTGAGTCCTGCCACCTTCAGAAGTTTTCTGATGACTCAGCAATTGTTGGCTGCATTGAAAAGGGTGAGGAGAGTGAATACAGGACTGTGGTTGGCAACTTTGTCACTTGGAGTGAGCTGAACCACCTGCAGCTCAACGTGACAAAGACTAAGGAGCTAATAGTGGATCTGAGGAGGACAAAAACACCTGTGACCCCTGTTTCCATCCAGGGGGTTCCTGTTTACAGTGTGGAGGAGTAGTGTACTTGAACAATAAGTTCGACTGGACTAGAAACACCGAGGCGGTCTACAAAAAGGGCCAAAGCCGACTATTCTTCCTGAGGAGGCTGAAGTCCTTTAACATCTGTGGGACGATGCTGAGGATGTTTTATGAGTCTGTTGTTGCTAGCACGCTCTTCTTTGCTATCACATGCTGGGGCAGTGGGTTGAGGGTCGCTGAAAACAACAGACTGAACAAACTGATCAAGAGGGCCGGTGATGTTGTGGGGGAACAGCTGGACACCCTGACCACCGTGGCAGAGAGGAGGATGCTGTCCAGGTTTCAGTCCATCTTAGACAATGACTCACATCCTCTCCATGACACACTGGTCCAGCAGACGAGGTCCTTCAGCAGAAGACTCCTCCTACCCAGACGCACCACAGAGCGCCACAGGAAATCATTCCTACCTGTGGTCATCAATCTCTATAACTCCTCCCTCAAGGGATTCAGCCAACCCCAAACACCCAATTAGTTCTCGATTTGGATTCCTTTAAGAAGAAGAAGAATCATATAAGCTTACAATTTATCAATGAGCTGGCTAACCAGAGTTCTGTCTGGATGAAAAAGTCTGAACTTCTTAACCTCTCGCCATCAATTTAAAGCATTTAGAACTACTAACTCAAAAAGCAGGAAAATTCCAACGGTAAAATGTTTACCAATATAGACATGATAGACATTGTTGGAAAGCTTAGAATCTTCACAATTCAACTGCCAAGTTCATTGTATGGACATAGCGAGTAACAAAGGTATAGCAGCATGTCAAAATGTAAACATGACAAAGCAGCCACAACAACATACATTTGAAGGCATCCAGAAGCAGTTTTATTAAATCCAATCTTCAATACTTTATACGCCATTCTTCCATTAGGGTCCACAGATAAAAAGTAATCCAGCATATTCGTAATTAAACTATTCCATGATAAAAAAAAATTGCATCCGGTTGTTGATATCAGAAAAGTTAGTTGGTCATAACTAATGCTTAGCATCTTGCTAATATTTACTTCCTGATACTAATTTCCTCAGTTGTTAGCCTGCAATGTTTTATATGGTTCTTTACATCGTCTTCTTACCTGCAAGACAAAAGTGTCCACATCTTTGTATGACGCGATTTGAGCCAGATACAGTCGCTGAAATCTCACTTCCGATCATTTCCTTTCAGCCAGTGACGGGCCGAGTAGTGCAATATTATGCCTCATATAGTCCTGCTGTTATTGGTTAAGACCACGTGGGCTGTGTGGCTTTGTAGCCAATGAAATAAGGTTTCAAACAAGCCTAAACATAGCAAGGTTATATAAAGCGGAACTGTGCTACCGGCTTGCGTTAGAGTGAAACGCTCAGCTGCGGCTGGATCAATCAAGAATGGCCCTGTTCTTTTGAAGTTTGGACGTTGATTTTGTTTTATTACAATGATGTAGAACAAATGTAATACAATGAGACATACCTTTTCTCAAGCATGTGTTTATTACTGCTGTTTAAAAAATACCTATTATTATCGAGAATAAAAAAAAACTTTGAGTCATGTTTGAACTGATGCAGCTTGGTCTGTGTTCTTCAGAAACCAGAAGGTGATAGCTTTCAAATAATGTATTGCACATATAATTTGGGCTTACAGTTCCTAAGTTATTTGCTTTTCCAATTAAGTATGCAAAATAGACGAGAAATTCCCAAAATGAGGTGGATGTTTAGAGGTAATCCCGTAAATGTTCTTTAGGTGTTACTGTGTTTATGTCATGAATAGGGCATATAGCCTCGATGTGCCCACCTTACTCTCTCTTTCTCTCCTCCTTTGGGATTCAGAAAACTGCTGTAGTCCTGTCATCTTCTGATGTGGTCTGTGCTGCTTCTGTGTCTGTATGCCTCCCTCATCAGACAAAAAAGATGCACTTTTCTTTCCCCTTGGTGAAATAACCAGCTTTCTTGTACCACATGCAACATTCACACAAAAAAAAATCTCCCAGTGAACAGCCGATTGCAATTGTTTACTTCAGAGGCCCAGCTTAAGAAGCTGTTTTGTTTGCGATGGATCCATCACATATGCAAATCGGTAATATACTGTACATAATATCATGTATCCTGTTATGTCTTTGTATTGGTAGTTAACATTAGTTAATATCATAATGACATATTGGCCTAATTTCCTGAGTGGAGCCATTCAGATGATATGTGTGGGAAATTTACTTTTATCTTTTGTAAGCTATGCCTTGATTCCATCCCAGGGGAGATCCACTCTGCTGGTAAGCAAATTGTCTCCTTTAGGGGGAGACGCATGGGGGCACTGAGAGTCTTGGTTGCGTTATGTAAAAACGGTGCTGGAAAAGAATTCAATATAAATATATATTGCAACATACTTATTCAGAAGCAGTGATATGACATTCAAACAAAACCACAATCTAGTATTTTCTCTCTTTTTTATTTATTTTTTTTATAAATCAAAACTTTAGCTGTGTTCATTAAATCAGCATTAAAAATACATATTTTTAAATAGTTTTTTTTTTTGGGTTGTATTTTCAAGCATTTATGTGTTCAATAAGACATTATAAAAGCTTTACTGATGAAGAAAAAAGTTTTTTTTATCAAACCTTTGTCGATATTATTTTCCAAGACAGACAAATATTTCTTTCAACCAATACTATCCTGTTAAAACAGTAAACCTTGCTACATATTTACAAAACATTATTTTTGTGCACAGACTGATCTGTGATTATATAATTCAGAATGTCAGCATTCAGCATAAGTCTAGATTTTATGATACTGACATGTATCACTTGACTTGTCAATCATATTCCTATGTTAAATATCACTATTGAAAACCACTTTTGAATATATCCTTTCTTCGGTCTTCATTTCCCTTTTCTTCTTTCCTTTTTGCTCCTTCCCTCCAGAGAAATACAATGCAGCATAATTTAGATCCTGTCTATTTTCACTCTGTTGAAGAAAACATAAATAAATATACTTATTTAAAATGTGCCAGTACTGTTGACTATTATTACAGTCAAACTGTTGCAATAGTAATTTAGTTTTTTTCACCTCATTTATTGGTTGGCTTAAGTCCCTGCTATTTGCTTCAGAAGAGAAACTTTCTGTGTAGACAGAACAAACGTCTGAAGACAGAGTAATATTCACCTAAAACTTTATCTAAAACATTAGTTTGATTCTGTAATTTTCTATAATAAGATTAATTATTGATTGAATTAATCAAATTAAAATGAAATATACCTACCTTTACATTGGGTACAGACTGATCTTTGAGAACAGTAAAAAATAGAAATAATATTGAAGATCACAGAAATGGCCAAGCTGATTAAAGTGATCATCCACACAGTCCTTTCACCACTTGTTTTCTCTAAAATAAAAAAAAGTAAAGCATATCAGAAAAACATAATTTTCTATAACACATAAATAACATGATGCACAATACCTTGATTGCTCTTCGCCACCTTGGTTCCATTTCCAAATATTATCTCTCCACATGTAGCCACAGCACAATAATAGGTGTCTGCTTCAGAGGAGCTGACGTTCTTAGAGAAGTTGTAACCACATTTCTTCTGATTGTTTGATTGCTTTTCACAATTTTGATTTCTTTTTTCATCGATGTAGATGACGTCTGGATAGGATGTTTCTGATCTGGTTCTGAACCAGAACACACTAGGTTCTCCTGAGCAGGTTCTGTTTTCAGAGTAAGACAGGACTGAACACTGCAGAGTCTCTAAGTTTGTTGGACCAGTGGGATCAGAAACGGATTTCTCCTGAACAACAGTGTAGGTTGATGTCTTCTGAGAGTTTCCTATGAAGAAAGAACAAACCAACATGACAAGAGGTCTACCGTCTTGATATAATCTGAAAATGCTTACATTTTTTTTAAACTGAGAAAGAAATAAGAATTTTACTGCCTTTTGAAATGTGCATTCAACCCTTTTAACACATATTGATGTTAAACTCTGCTTCTAAAATTAGACCTAAATTGATGATAAAGTTCAAACCCTTTACATACAGCCTGCCTTTTTACCCACTCATCACAGTAAATATAGCAAAGCCACTCTCTGCCACTGAACACAGGAGCAGTACAAGCATCATATGCATCTTTACATTCTTTACTGGAAACGCTTCAAGAGCGTCAAAGATGGTCATGAAGTCCGTCTGAGCTTCAGGTGTACAAGCTTAAAAAATGAAGCAGCGGGGGAGAGTCTACATTTCAAAATTTCTCAGGGGAGGACACCCCAGGACCTCCCTACGCCATGCAAAGCCTGAAGATGTGATACACCAAGGTGTACACACTGTGAAATATTCCTAGCTAAAAGCCTGGTACTAATTGATGTAAATATGTTTCAGACTGTAAACAAAACTAATAGAATAAACCCGGATATCTATTAAAATAAGGATTTTTACTCAGAGATTATATTCTATAGAGATTTTGTCACAAACATATACCAGCTGTATTAGATTATGATAAGCCGTATTTTATAGAAACTTTCCAACAAGAATTTTAAATATTCTATCTCTGAATGTTGAGGAAACAATGTGAAAATAAGAAATTCAGACTTTCGAAACTTTAGAAATGTTATTACCAAGACATTTGTTACTAATTTTAACTAAGAGCAAGTTTTAGGTATGAAAAATACCCGACATGTACCTCTCAAGGTCAAATAAGTCCCAGTCCAAGTAGATTGAGTCCAGTCCATATGAGCGCAGTGATACATCCCCTCATCTTGTTGAACTGTTGACAAAATGATCAAGTTGCTTTTGTTTTCATTATATGTAATTTCAAATCTTGATGCTGAAAATCCCTGTGCATAGATGGGAGTCACACTTTGATACACCTTTGCAATTAGTTGTAGAGTATTTCCCACACTCTGCTTGTACCAGTGAACCTGAACCTTTCCAGTTAAATGGCAAGTCAAAGTTATAGGCTCTCCAAGCTGAACTGTGATGACAGGAACTAACGTATCTGCAATACATAAGAAGTTAAAAGGTAAAAAAATAAATCAAAGATCATTTTAAGTGTAGTTTACAGAGCACAGATAAGGCAGGCAAAAGATGATCTAAAGTTTTTAAATCAACTTACATCCTTGATGAAGAAGAAATGGTATAAGCCACAGCAGAGTCATGTTGACAATGTCCTTATACTGTAAGGACACAACATTTACTTAAGTAACTGAAGGAGGTGTGGTAATCCAGAGCGTAAGAAGCATCTGATTGGTTCCCATGAAATTTTCCAAAAAACAGGGCTTGCTGCCACAATGAGACTAAGAAAAAAAAACAACCTCAAAATGAACAACAATTTCTTTTTTATGATCTGGTTGAACTGTATATGATCTGGTTGTAACTGTAAAGTGCCTTAAGATGACTTGTGTTGTGAATTGGCGATATATAAATAAACTGAATTGAATTGAATTTTATCAACAACCTGCTGTTATTGAGCTATTGCGGGGTCTGATTTCCTTGATCATACATTTTGTAAAGTTATAAATATATATGTTAGGCTCTTTATTATCAGGAATTCCAGAAACTGTAGTTAAATCCTACAGCTGCTCCAGAATGCTTCAGCCAGGGTTCTGATAAAAATTAAAAAGAGAAATCATATCTCTCCTATCCTACCTCCTCTTCACTGATTTCCTGTTAAATCCAGAGTAGAATTTAAAATCCTCGTTCTCACATATAAAGCCTTAAATGGCAAAGTTCTACCATACATCACAGATATGATTATTCCTTATGTTCCTAACAGAGCTCTCAATCTGCAGGTTTATAAATCTGTCAGATATACAGGTAAGAACTTGAACAATCTATTAAAATTTAATCGGCTAATTATCCAAGCATGTATTCATAAATTATCTTTGTGGATCTGTATTGCAAATTCTCATTTTTAATATCACACTTTTTTTGTTATATTAAGTAGTTAAATGTACAGATCTTTTTCAGCATCATGTTAGTGGCTTTTCTACAGTTAAAATAATAATAAATGGGGGAATTAACGGTCAATAACCTGATGTTACATCAAAACTACAACAACTATCACATCCATGAATTTCCATTTTGAATTGAAAAAGCGTCCTGGATGGAATGACTATGACCTGAATGACTAAAAATCTTCACGAGCACACATCCACGACAAAGAGGGAAATTAAAAACACATTTTTGACTGCTTTAACTTTAATTTATTTATTTAGAAAATTGTAGCCCCAAAGTCAGTGATGTGTGATGAGGTTCATGGTTGGTGAGGCACTGGCTGACTGACTGACTGACTGACTGACTGACTGAGGCACCACCTCCAAGGAAGAGGAAATTAATCAACAGATTGATGGACTGGAGAAAGTCCCATCACTTCTAAAAGGAGCTCAATATCATCACCAAGACTAAAAATTCCAACAGCATTATCAGTAAGTCTACACTGTGTGCCAAATTCCTGGCACAATCATCCTGATACAATATTAGCGGTCTTAGACACCATTACTATATTGTACAAGGTAGTTACCAGAGTAGACCACAGGATGGCAATGTTTTACTGTTCATACTTGTTGAGGCTGCCATCTTGGTGTAGTCTCTTGCTGAGTTCGAATTTAGCGGGTGCATCATTCGAAGGCCAGATTCATGGACAATTATGTCATGGTGCGGCGCTGAGGTCTGTTTGTGGAAAGGCTACTCGTTATGCAGCCAACAAATGCATCCTTCTTTTTGCCCGTTTTGAAAGATGGGTCTGGTGTATCCTACATTGCCTGGAGTATCTCGTGATTGATTGCTGGTCCAAGCAGCTTCTCTGTACCCAGAAGAAAATGGTACCTGGTGCCAAACAGTGGTGAATATTGGAAGCGCTGTTATAACAAGAGTATGTAAACAGTTCTGTCTGAAATTAATTAAAATAGCTGTTTTAAATGGTGTTTGAGTCAGATATGCGGCAGGAAATGTTTGGTTTATTGAAATTTTTTTATCATTCCATGTATAAATGGGTTTGACTGATATTTAAAGACAGATTGTAATGTATCTGCATTGTTTGGGGCTATAAATCTGATACAATGCAGTTATTGAAGCTCCTCGAAAATGTTTTTAACACCCAGAACAGCAATAAGAAGTGCGGTAGTCATTATTTTCCTGCTTTGTGTGTCAGCTCTCACAGTTGCTAGGCGACACAGTGTACAGCGATAAAAGCCTCAGAAGGCTGGACCTGTTTGAATTCACAGCCAAAACTCTTCCAGTCTCCTTTTTTTTATGGACCTCGAAGGATCCAGTCCAGATAGGCCTGGACCTTGGAGGATGCAGCCTTTAAAATTGAATACACCCTATGTTTGTGGTTCAAAAGGTAGGCACTACAGATTGTTCCTTAGACTTAGACAAACTTTATTTTCATTTTGTGTACACAAACTGGATACAAAACAAAATTTAGATGTATGTAGCTTTTTAAAAGTGAATGAGCAGATAACAATAACGAAATGAACATTTCCATTTTTAAAGGTAGCAGAGATTAGAAAAATAAGGTTCAAAATGCAGTAGAAACTTTAAGTTGAGTTCTGTTTGCAGCGATTTGAAAATTTGCCATGTAGTGCAAATAGGATGTTTAAAAGTGTTGATTTGTGTCCTGATTATAGTTTCAACATTCGCAGTGGGGAAAAAGCTGTTGCAGAACCTGCTGGTCCTGCAGTGAATGCTGCAAAGCCTCTTCCCAGAGAGCAGGAGGGAGAACAGTCCATGGTGGGGATGTGAGGGGTTGCTGATGATGTTATGGGCTCGCGTGATGCAGCCCTGGGATGAAATGTCTTTAATGGAGGGAAGAAGAGCTCTGATGTACCTCCAGATCATAGTCAAATATATTGGCCATAAACAAATGAATACACAGTTTTCTTTAAATTATGTTTATAAGAAGTTAGTTTAGACATTAGACATTAGTAGTTTGTAGCTTTGCTTTTATATATTTTGGCTCTCTAAGAATATGGTTGGCTTTTAAGTTGTAATTATGCTAGCTCCTGCAGCATCTGGTGGTGTGTGTTTTTTGTTTCTTCTCTTCTCTAATATGACACATTGATCTGGGTGGTTTAATAGCTGTACATATAAATTTTTCTTTTTTGTTGTTTTACATGTATAGATTTTTTATATGAAACTAATGCAGTCTATGTTTATGGTTCAAAAGGTAGTTCATCAAGTTTTGGAACTTAATAAACTGACCGAGCCAGAGTCAGCATCCTAT